TCTGGGCTGTCCAAACCTCCACACTCCAAAGAAAGGTTTGCCTGGCTCCTGGGAGATAGCCCCTAAACCCTTGGAATATCCTGTTTGATAAGAGTATTTTTGCTTATCTGGGAGCCAGGGGCCTCTTGGGATAGCCTCTGAAGGGGCTGGAGACTAAGTAACTAAGGTCAGGCATGTGGGTGGTCAGCAGCCTCCATCAAACACCAGACATCAAGCCTTGGCCGAATTTCCTGTTGGCAGTGGTTCTTGCAGCTGCAAACTATGTTTCTGGGGTGGCGACTCATTGTTGCTGGGAGCATTAAGCGCTGTCCCCATGACTCCACTGGGAGAGGCCAGTGGAAGCTGGCAGCTGGTCTCTCCTGGACTCGGCCTGTGCACTTTTATGCTTTGCTGACTTTGCATCCTTTCACAGTAATAATTATAACCACGAAGATAACAGCTTTGCTGAGTTCCGTGTCCTAGTGAATGACTGAACCTAAGGGTGGTCTTGAGGACAGCCAGTGACAATCAGAGAGCCACTGCTCTGTGCTGTGGGATTAACCTCGCTAGGCTTTAGGCTTTCGGGGCCCCCTCACCAGTGAAGTGCCTGAGGGGCATCTTTGTGGAATGCTTTGAGAGGCTGTGAACTGCCTGGAAGCCTGGGTGTCACTTTGGGGGTAACCCTGAAAGGTCTTTGTGGGTCACTGGGCCCCAGTCTTCCCATCTGTAAATGGGGTTTTGGAGCATTTCTTTTCTCTCTGGGGTGGGGGGGTGATGAGTTCCCCTTATGGCAAAGCTGCTGAAAAATATGCTGGGCTGTGGGCAGGGGCAATTTATTTCATGGTCCTCCTACTTCCGGTAGCCAGCTCTGCCCACTACAGCCTTACTCACCTGAGCCGGACGCTGGGTGCTGGGTTCACAGTTTCAGTAGATCCAGCCGCTCGGTGCTGCTCCTTCTGAGACCACCCTCAGGGCAGTGACCCACTTCTCACGGTGCTTGGACCCTCCCTGCTCCATCCTGCCCTGCCTTACGGCCAGGTCCTTGAGGGAATTCCTTGGCAGTCCAGTGGTTCGTACTCCGGGTTTCCACTGAAGGGGGCACAGGTCTGATCCCTAGTCGGGGACCTCAGATCCTGCAATCTGCACAGTGTGGCCGGCGGGGGTGTGAGGGAGGGAACAAAAAGAGCTAACTAACCCAGAGAAGGCCCCTTAGCGGCCGCTGGTTATGTGGCTTTATTCACAGACTCAGCGCTTGCTGAGGTTGGGAGGAAAGAACATTTGGGACCAGGCTGGGCCTGGAGATGAGGGTGGCTGGGAGGCCATGCATGGGTTGGATGGGCGAGCTCACAGGAGGGAACCTGTTGCTGGGCTAGGCCAGTGGGGGTGGGGGGCGGAGGCAGGCAGCATGCGGGAGGCCTGGCTAGATCCGAGGGAGCAGATCTACCCAGGGTGGTGTCTGTGAGCCAGGGAGGGAGGGTCTGAGGGCTTCTCCAGAGCAGGGGCTGGACAGCAGGCACCCCTGCCCCTCACTCCCAGGGAAATGACTTAGTGGGATAGTCGGGATGCCTGGTGCTCCCTCCTTCTGCTGCCTCAGGGCTTGACGTGAGACTGGCCACACTGGTCCCCTCTGGTGTCAGTGTCCCACTGACGCTTGGACATTTGCCTTGGGGGTGACCCACACAAGGACACCCTGGAGAGTATTTGAGGGCCCAGTGGAGTGGGCTGTGCCTGGGGAGGGAGTGGACCCCTGGGAGGCAGGGATACTCCCTTGAGCCAAGCTTTTCTCTCAGTAGTTGGTGTCAGTTCCCTGCTGGCAGGGGGTGCCATCCCCCGCTCGATCCAGGCCAGCCCCTGGGGCCAAGGAGGACCGCTTGGTTAAACCTCCTTTCTCCTGGCCCGCTCTGCTGGCTCTGCATGGACTTCCTGCCTGAACACAAACAAGGAATCCAAAGCCCGGACACCCCCTCCCAGGCTTTCTTCCTGGTGAAGAGCCCATTCCCACCTGGCAGGGAACACAAGAACCAGTTCCCCGGGTTCCCCAGTTTGGAAAGTTGGTGGGGTCTCCCTGGGTTGTGCAGGAAGGTGACCTAGGGGCCCCGGAATCCTGGGGGGGCCCTCCCCCCCCGAGCAGGGCCCTGGGTCTGAGGTTACCGCCCCTGCCCGCTCTCTACCAGGGCCCGCTGGGGTGGAGGGATGCAGGCAGGAGGGCCATCAGCACTGGCGGGAGGGGGTGCGGTGCACAGAGCCGGGGCGCTTGGGGATCTTGCGCCAGCGACGCTTGTCCCAGCGGCAGAGCAGCAGCAGGCGGAAGGTGTCCCGGAAGGCTTTGTTGCAGAGCGCGTAGCACATGGGGTTGATGGTGCTGTTGACATAGCACAGCCAGTAGCCCAGCTCCCACAGGGTCTCGGGAACACAGTCCTTGCAGAAGGTGGACACCAGCACCATGATGTTGTACGGCGTCCAGGTGAGGATGAAGGCCAGCAGGATGGCGCTCAGGGTCCGAGCCGCCTTCTTCTCCTTGACCAGCGAGAAGGTCTTCCGCTTGGCCAGCTGCTCCTTCCCACGGGGCTTCTGGCCCTTGCCCGCCCGCTCGCGCCCCTTCCGGGTTGGCCTCTTGACCGTATTCGGGGAGCTCCGGGGCGGTTGCTTGGCGGGGGCCTGTGCCTCGGGGTCCACCATGGGCATCTTGATCACCACCTCGGAGCCAGGCTCCTCACCCTCCGAGGAGGTGAGGGACTCCATGGAGCCTTCGTCCTCCTCCTCTTCCTCCTTCCAGCTGTAGGCCTGGAGCAGCCGGGGGGTTCGGCAGCAGCGGCAGCAGCGCCCTGAAGGGGTCTCTGGGGAGCCTTCCGCCCCTGGCTGGGACCGCTCTGAGCTGCTGCTGCTGCCGCCCCCCTTCCCCGGCGTCTCCGAGCCCTGCAGGGCCGCCAGCTCCCGGGCCCGGTTCTCTGTCTCCCGGTAGATGCGCCAGTAGAGTGTGCACATGACCGTGACGGGGAGGTAGAAGGCGGCCATGGCCGTGCCAAAGGTGATGATGGGCTGGGAGAGGAACTGGATGTAGCACTGCCCGGCCAGCACCGTCCGCTCCCCTACCAGGTACTGCCAGAAGAGGATGGCCGGGGCCCAGAGCACGAACGAGACCAGCCAGGCCAGGCCGATCATCAGGGCTGCCCGGCGGGGCGTGCGCTTGGCACGGTAGCTCAGGGGCCGGGTCACCGAGAAGTAGCGGTCAAAGCTGATGAGCAGCAGGTTCATGACCGAGGCGTTGCTGGCCACATAGTCCAGGGCCAGCCAGAGGTCGCAGGCCAGCGTGCCCAGAGCCCAGTGGCCCATGAGCAGGTACGTGGTGTAGAGGTTCATGGAGAAGGTACCGATGATGAGGTCGGCACAGGCCAGGCTCAGCAGGAAGTAGTTGTTGACTGTCTTGAGCTCCGTGTTGACCTTGAAGGAGATGAGCACCAGCAGGTTGCCTGTCACCGTGGCCAGAGACAGGAGGCCCGTGGTGATCCCGATGAAGGCCACTTGCCAGGGACCCTTTCCCGGTGCCAGGACAGTGATGTTGGGGCTGACGGCCGGTGGCGCTGAGGTATTCATGGTGGCTGGGGGGAGTGGGGGAGGTAGCCCCTTCCTCTAATCACAGGTCGGGGCTTCCTCAGGGGCCACTCATCACCTGAAAAGAGAGGACATGCGCTTGGGTTGGGCAGCAGGACGCCTCCCAGAGCCCGGAGTGGAAGGTGTTGGGAGCACAGCCTCTGCCCTCTCAGGGTGGCAGCCAGACAGCATCACACCATCCTCACTGGTGCCCACGCCTGGTCACTTAGCAGGCACTTTCCCAGCCACGAATGGATTTACCAGTGGCCTGAGGGGGAGGGTATGGCTTTGGCATCCAGAGATCTGAGTCCCCATTCCAGCATCACCATTCAGACTCCGAGCCTCAATTTTCTCATCGGGAAATTGCTGCTAACGCTTCTCTAACTAACTCATGCGGCAGGAGTGGGGAGACTGGCTTTGTACATGGGACTGCCACATTTTCAAAGCATTTCAGTCAATTTTATTAAAGCTTTCATTTTCTGAGTAGTTACTACATGCCAGACACGGGGCTAAGCGCTTAATTGAATTACCTAATTGAATTGTTGAACATTCCAGACTTCCCTGGTGGTGCAGTGGTTAAGAATCCACCTGCCAATGCAGGGGACATGGGTTCAGTCCCTAGGGGGAGGGGGGCACTAGGCCCATGCACCACAACTAGAGAAGCCTGTGTAACTGCAGTGAAGACCCAGCACAGTCCAAAAAAAAAAAAAATACGTGGAGCATTTGTAGGAGGAAGGTCGCTTATGACCCCCATTTCACCAAGGCAACCGTGGCTCCAGCCGGCTCTAAGGCCGGGCCATGGCGACACAGGTGGTGTGTGATCAGAACCCACTTCCCTCGCTCACTCTCTGAGCACGTGAAGATCCACCGGGATTCTTCCCTGAAATAAGGAGTGATGGGAAGGCGGGTGCCGGTGGGGCGGGGGATGGTCTCCAGAGAAGAGAGAGGGAAAGAGATACAAGCAAAGGGGCGTGGCGTATGCACGCACGCGCAGTTTGGGGCTGGCGCAAACACTCCTGAGGGCATCAGGGGAGATTGAGCCAGGCCCAGACACTCAGCTGGTGATGGACAATCTGGAGTAAAAGCAAGCAGGATGGGCGAGGGCCTCAGCTCCCAGATAAGCGAGAGTTTGGTGACGTGGTGTGCGAGGCCGCAGCTGAGCAGAGGGCAGCAAGGGGAACAGGAAGACCCTCCAGACTTTGCCTGAAGCTGGAGCCCAGCCCGGGCACTGAGGATGGGTAGAGAGAGAAGCCATGACTCTTAGCGACCACTGGCCGGGCAGAGGCCCAACCTCTTAGCCCCCGCCTTGCTGCTGGATGTTCTCGTTCAGGGCTTCAGGCATTCATCTGTTTGCTGAAGAGACTGGGTCTCCTCCTACCTTCAGGGCCGGTATTGCTGGGAAAATTCCAAGGGAGAGACGCTGGGCAGGGACCCAGCAAGCCCTGGTGTTCCTGGGGACCTGGTCTGTTGATGAGGAGACTAGAGTCTGTGAGAGCTCACTGCTGAGGGATGCCTTGGTGCTGCGTGGCTAGGGGTGTCCTTGTGACAGAAACTCTCAGCATGAGGAGTTCAGAGTGTGACAGAAAGAGCAAGAAAAGCTGTGGCTGTCAATGCTCCTGGGTCTGGGACAATCTGCATGTGAGGGGGCACAAGGGGAAGTCCTGGCTGAAGAACTCGGGCTCTGGAGTCAGACTGCCTGCATCTGAATCCAGGCCATACCATGTACTGGGTGTGTAGTCTCCTCTAGAGATGCCACTGCTATGCACCTGGGTTTCCTTAGCTGAAAAGTGGTAATAATGCCTGTCCCTGGCTAATGCTTGAGGAATTATTGCCTAGCTTAAAGAGTCAATAGATGCCAAATGCTTAGAACAGCCCTGGTCCATGGTTCCCATGAACACAGCAACGGTAGCAACAAGAGCTCCCTCCTGCCCAGAAGTGTCTGCTTCTTTGATGAAAATTTCTAATACTATGGGGAATTCACTGGTGGTTCAGTGGCTGGGGCTCCGCACTTCCTCTGCAGGGGGCATAGGTTCAAATCTGATCTCTGGCTGGAGAACTATGATCCCACATGCCACGTGGCATGGCCTCTCCCCAAAATTCTATGATAACAGCAACTAACAATAACAATGGTCACTGCTATTAGTTAGCATCCCTGAGGGCTAGTCATTACTCAGAGTACCTATGTATCCTTTTTCACTTAACCTTAACAGGGAATCTATGACCTAGGGATTGTTTTTCTTTACATCTTATAGATGAAGAAACTAAGGCTGAGAAAAGCACAAGAATTTGTACAGGATCACACAGCTAAGGTAAGAACCAGGATTGGAGCCCAAGCAGTATGTTCCAATGAAACTTTATAAAACTGATGGTCAGGTGGTCCAGTGGCTAAGCTCCATGCTCCCAACACAGGGGTCTTGGGTTTGATCTCTGGTCAGGGAACTAGATTCAACCTGCCACAGCTAAGACCCTGTAGCTAAATATACTACACTACACTTATTTAGTGTAGCTAAATAAATAAATAAATAAATAAATAAAAATAAATATAAAAAACCCTGACGGTTGACGTAGGAGCTATAGTTTGCCAATTTGAACTAAAAATGTTACACTAAAATATGATTTATCTTGCTTACTGAACTCTGCTACAACCTGGTCCCCTAAGGGAAGTCAGGCAGGAGACTGGGGTCAGACTGTAGGTGCTTGGGCTTTTCCCTGTGAGGTCACTGGTGAAAACTACCCTTGACAGGTGACTCTGAACAACTGTGATCCCTTTGATAGTCGAGACTCGGTGCTGTTTGTGCCCACTGCAGAAATGGAGTAACTGAGGCCCAGAGGAAAAAAAAAGGTATTGTGTAGTCTAAGGTTTCCTGGCTCCTAGACTGGGTGCTGGCATCCACATCCCAAGCCTGGGTGCCTTGGGGACATTTCTGTAGCCTCTGGCGGCTCCCTGGGACAAGACCTGAGAAGATTGACCAGAAGAGCTTACAGGCCTAAGCTTACAGGCCTGCACCCTCCACAACTGCAGGGCTCTCCTGTCTGCCTGGGCACCGTGTGACCAAGCGCTCTGCCATTGGACTTGGTCCACACACCGCAGCAGGGTTAGGACTCGGTGGGGTGAGCGAGGCACTTGCTTTGCGTGCAGAATTTAAGTAGATGCCCCAAACTCAGTCATCAAGAAAGTAACATTTTAACGTGACATTTAAAGAATAGAAATCGATGCAAAACATCCATCATGCACACAATTTTAAACTGAGACAGGATCCAACCCAGCATCTGCACAAACACCTCACCGCCCATGCCTCGCCCTAATCCTGGCCCTGGTTCTGACCAAACTTGATTTACAAAAACAGGCCGCCTGTGGGCTGTAATTTGTTGTTTGATTTTCAAAAATATTACATTACAATATTATTTATCTTGACCAGTGAGGTATTTTTGTACCCACTCCTTAAATTTTGCTCCAAGGCGAACACCTCACTCAACTCATCCTAATTCCTGCATTGCCAATCACAACCCTGGGTTTGAATCTCCAAGCTGTCCCTTCCTAGCTGTGTGATCATCAGCAATGACTTAACCTTTCCTTCCCTGTAGCCCTGCATCCCTCAGCTGATGGGGATACATGCATGCTTAGTCGTGTCTGACTCTTTGCAACCCCATGGACTATATAGCCAGGCTCCTCTGTCCATGGAATTTTCCAGGCAAGAATACTGGATTGGCTTGCCATTTCTTCTTCTAGGGGATCTTCCTGGCCTAGGGATCGAACCCGTGTCTCTTGGGTCTCCTGCACTGGCAGGCAGATTCTGTTACCACTGCGCCACCTGGGAAGCCTGCTGATAAGAATGTGCTATGTTGTGCTCAGTCTCTTCAGCTGTGTCCAATAAGAATCATAGTATCCAAAGTGCTTGGCACTGAAATGACACTCAGTCAACAGCTTCTGCTATTATTCGTGACTCCTCATTCTGATCCACTGACTCTCATCTGACTGTCCCCTGCCCTTTCCTCTCCAGATCCTGTCAGAGCCCATCTCTGGTCCCCAGATTGCTCATCTGTCCAGTGGAGGAGTGGGACCAGCCTGACATCTGGGGAGATTTTACAGGATCCTGAAATCAAGATTCCAAGATGGCTTGAAAGCACAGGAGAGAAATAGCTAAGAACATCCTCACCTATAAAATGGACCAAGTCCCGGAGGGGAGGCTGCAGGGGCTGAGGGCTCACTTAGCGTCTCTCAGCCCTGGACCTGCAGGCTTCAAGGCCCATGTTCTTTCCACTCAGCTGGCCCTCTGTGCCCCATCTGTGAGCTGCGAGGGCCTCTCTTCAGGGACAGCGAGGGGAAAGAGAAGGGCAGAGGTTCTGGGGAACTGGACCCTGATTCTTGCTCCCGGCTGGACCTTCTGAGCCCTTGGGATGCAGCCCAGGAAGAGTCATCTGTGACTTTATCTTTCTTCCACAATCAGAAGTGGGGGTCCTCCCCCAAGCCTCTCTTGGACTGTGATTTACTCCAGAGAAGGTTCCCGGAGGCCTGCTCTGGTCCCTGCTGTGTGACCTTGGGCAGGTCTCCTTAACTCCTTACTGGGGGCAATCTTCAATAAGGCAAAGCCTCTTCAAGGCTACTGGTGGGTCAGCAAGATGATGGCTGAGAAAGAATGTGGCTTCCAGTGACTGGGTGATTTCCCTGTGGGGAATTCCCTTGGGCTAAAAGTCTGGGTGCTAGGGTTCAGCAGCAGCTCCAGAATTTCTACAGGGGAGGGACTTAGGGTTAGCCCTCTGGTTGAAAGGGGGCTGTGTGTGGTGGAAGCTGTATTGCATAGCATATTATGTGAAAACATCCATGGGAGTGGGGTAGTTGGTTAGTGGGGATCGCAGGGCCTGGGGGGAAGACTCCCCAAGGAAGTCCTTGCATTGCCTCTGCTTCAAGCCCCATCTCTGCTCTTGTCTTGCTGGGTCACCTTGGGTAAGTTCTAGTCCTGACCTGGTACCTTTCTGTAGGATGAGTGTTTGTGTGTGAGAGTGTGTGCATTGCTGAGTGAGAATAAGAAATGATGGGGATGGGGGTGGGACTTCTCTGGCGGTCCAGTGGTTGAGTCTCTGCCCTTCCAAGGCAGGGGGCATGGGTTTGATCCTGGTGGGGGAACTAAGATCCCACAGGCCTCACAGCACAGCCAAAAATTAAAAAAAAGAGAAATGATGAGGGTCTTTATGGGGATGGGTTGGGACATCCTCTGAGGGTGTCTGGGGTAGAAGAAGGTGGAAAGGACACAGGAGGCACTTTTCTGCCCAGAACTGTGGCTTCCTGATAAAGGTCTTTGGGAGCTTTTAATAATATTAATATTATCATAGCAACTAATATTTACAGGCTGCTTACTATAAGCAGACATGGCTCTAAGCATTACATACGTGATGTAATTGACCTGTTACAAATCCTTGGGAAATAGGTTCTATTATCTTCAATTGGCAGAAGGAGCAATGAGGCTCTAACCTGATATCTCATCACTGATGCAATCAGGATTTGGACTCAGGTGGTCTGCCTGCAGCCTGGTGTGCTGTAGTTCATGGGGTCACAAAGAGTCGGATGTGACTTAGTGACTGAACAACAACAGTCTGCCTCCAGGGCTAACCTCTCGGGCGCCTACTCCAAATGCTGTGGGGATGGGGGGCTCAATGGCCTTCTTGCCTACTTTGACTAGCTTGGCCAAACCCAGGGTTGAATCAGTCAATAGGGATGAATCAGTCCTTCCCTGAGAATCTTGTCTGCCTGGGTGTGTGTGTGTGTGTGTGTGTGTGTGTGTGTGTGACAGTGTGTGTTATCTATCTGGATGACGTATGATCACAGTACTATGGGAAGGCGGTGGTCACAGGGTTGAATCAGTCAATAGGGATGAATCAGTCCTTCCCTGAGAATCTTGTCTGCCTGGGTGTGTGTGTGTGTGTGTGTGTGTGTGTGTGTGTGTGTGTGACAGTGTGTGTTATCTATCTGGATGACGTATGATCACAGTACTATGGGAAGGCGGTGGTCCAGCCGTAGCTCTCTGCTTGGCACACAGCAGTTGCTCAGTAAACATCTGTGGAATAAATCCATGGATGTACATGGAGATCTCCTGATGGACTTTAGGACTTTAAGCACAAGGCTGAGCCTGCAGCAACAGAGGGTGGGTGGAGTGATGGGAGTCTGAACCGGCTCCCGAGTATGGTCCCTTCGCTCCATCCAGTTCCTGTATCCTTTCACCTGCCAGGTCCCTGCCCTCTCCCTGAGACCTTGCCTGGCTTGAAAGGATGGGAGAAAAATCCCCAGGAGCATCCTCAGCTGTCAAATGGACCAGGGAAGCCCTGCCCCACCTGCTGCAGGGAGGCCTGAGTGAGGTGACAGGACAGGACTGGGCTGGGACTGTGCCTGCCAGTGTCGGGGAGGAAAACGTCAGCCTGGGCTCAAAGAGTTAAGGGATGAGGTCAGAGCCTTCAGCAGGGCAGGCTAGCCAGCGCCCTGGACCAATCCCCAGGGGCCAGGGATCTGGCTGGTGAGAGGAAGGGGGAGGGGAGAGATTGATGGGGAGAGGGATGCCTGAACACTGGGGTTTCCTGAATCTTGCCACTAGTCAAGGAGTGCAGGAGGGAAGGCACAGAATGAAGGGTGCTGGGGGAGAGATTCAGGGGGAGGAGTGAAGCCATCTTGTGATTCTGGAAGTCGGCAGAACCCTGGCTGGAGAGAAGGGGCGATACAGGGGAAAAGGAGGTACGAGGTGGGGGCCGTGGGGCTGGGTACCTGGGACCTCACATGTGCAGGGAAGCTGGTCCTCTGGCCAGGCCTCCTGACCCATCCGTGCCTTCTGTGGGGGCCTGAACCCCAAACCAGCCTGTCAGAGGTGGTGCTCCCCACCCCGGGGTTAATTTTTCTCTGAAGGTAGCTCTTGACCCATTAAAGGTTTACAAAGCTTCCACCGCTGACATCTGGCTTTGGAAAGGAGGGTGTAAACTGATACACTTTATCACCTTTCCAGGCTCAACAGTCACTCCAGGGGCGTGCTGACTACCCCTGGGAAGGGCAGCAGCCATCAGTTAACCGCTCATAAATGCACTGCTGAGCCGGAAGAGGAGCGTCAGCCTTAGAACCAGTGCCAAATACTCTCACTGTTGATGGACCTTAACCAGTTGCCCAACTTTAGCTGGATCATGTCAGAGCCTGGCAGTTAGCAGGCTGGGCCCCAGAGCCCACTCTGCCAGGTGGCATCAGAAGTGCCTGGCCCTCATCCTCATCTCCGCATGCCCTCTGCTTTCACTCTTTGCACTCCCCTCCCCATTTCCTTTCTTCTCTCTCCTTCCCTCCCCCATCTTTCTAGGCATCACCATGGCATCACAGCAGAACAGAAACCCAGCGAGATATTCACCCACCTCTCCCCGCCCGCCCAGGAGCCCCAGCTCCTGCTCACGGAGCTCGCTGCTTCCCCCACCCCATCATCCTGCTCAGGGAGGTGGGAGTTCAAGGCTGTACTGAGGGTGAGGAGAACGGGGTCCATGCGCCAGCCAGATCCCTAAATATCCCTTCTGTGACCATGAGCATGTCCCTGCTCCTTCCTCAGCCTCAGTCTCTCCATCTGTACAATGGGGATGTTCCTTTCTCGTTTGACATGCCTTCTGCTTACCCTCTTCTTGACCCTCTGGACTCCTCTTTGCACTTGGGGATCTGGTTCTCAGCCCTCCAGCACCCAGCCGAGGAGCCCAGACTCACATCTTCTGTGGCCCCATTTCATTGTTTCCTCCCCTGCCTTCCGTATCGCAGTGGCGATCACAGCTTGCCCAGTGGCTGAGGTCAGGGGCCAGAGAACTAACTCCCATCTGACAGCTCAGTGAGCAGCTGATTACCCAGGGGCAGGAGACTGTCCGGCTGCAGGAGACAGTCTGACTCCTTCCTGCCGTTTGGGCTGGAGGCCCTGGGTCAGCCTGGCTGGTGCTGCAGGTACGTTTTCTGGGAAGCAGTGACTCTCTCTCCACTGGCACTGATAACCCCCCAAGCAGCACCTGTCGGAGTGACCCGATGAAAGCTGCCCACCCCCTCCCCAGCTGCCAGCTCAGAAGCTGGCACTCTGCAAGAATCAGAGCACCTGGCCTCCAGCCTGTCCCCACATTGTGAAGTCTGGGGGTCCTGGGGTGGGTACCTGGCATGGGTGCCTGTTCGCATCTATGCATTACCTGGGTATAGGGCTGTGATCTGCCCTGCGAGAGCCCAAGGTACTATGGACATAGGGAGGGCCCTCTGGGCTCCTGCACACATCGGGACCACGTTCCCTGGCTGGCGTGGCTGTCCATGCGCCCGTGTCCCCCAGGAGCCCTGGAGCTCTTGGCCTGGTCTCCTGCTGGCGTCTGGCCCGGCACCCACCTTGGCATCCCGTTTGTCCATCTGGCCAGCAGCCTGGTTCAGTCCATCTTGGAGGGGCTGAAGGTGGATGGGGATGGTGGGAGTCAGGGTTCCCTGAGGGAGGAGAGGAGGAGGTTCTGAGACTGGCACCCCAGTCGGGGGGGGGGCGGTCAACCTCCCACAAGATTCTGGTGGCAAGGGCTACCTCTTGGCCCCCTGCCCTCCCTACTTTGTCCCTGGGGCTTGGGGGCTCTGGCTGCTGCATGGCAAGCTGATCCCTTCTGGGCTCCGGGTCCAGAGTCTTAAGGGCGCCCCAGCTCCTTTTCCAGCTGAACCCCAGAAAAACATTAGATGTATCCACCAGAAGCCAAGAGATGGGGTACTTGGAGCAGCGTTGCAGAGCCTTGGCCTCTAGACCCTTCCCTGGCCCCCTCCTCTCTCTGGGGTCCCTCCTCATTTCCTTCTAGTCCTGGTCCCTGCCTTGCACGAGGACCCTGATTCTACTGCCCCCACCTCGGTGGAGCCCCTCCCAAGCCCTCCCAAACATACTCACCATGGGGCTGGAGAGGGGTCTGAAGGGTCCTCAGCCCCGCTGTCTCTCCGGGGGCCGATGGCGTCTCCAGGGACCCAAACACCTGGCTCCCGGGGGGAGCTGCGCCCTGTGCTGGCAGCCGGAGAGGCACAGCCAGTGATTGGCATGTCCCACCCCCTGGCACGCCAGCCTGTGGGGGGGGGGAGGGAGGAAGAGAAAGAGGGAGGGAGGAAAGAGAGGAAAGGAAGGGAGGGGGAGCTAGAGGGAAGCCTCGGGCAGCGTCCGGGGTTATAGTGGGCCCTGGAGCGTGGCCTTCTTCTCCACTAGGGCACCCAATTCCAGCCCCTACAGGTAGGGTGCAGGACAGGAGGGAGATGAGCCCAGAAAGGCTAAAAGTCCAGAACGGGAGAGAAGGCGGATACAGGGAGACAAACACCCACACCCAAAGCACACAGACTCGGCTGCACACACACACACACACACACACACACACACACAAGCTCACACACGCACTCTCACAAAGACACACTGTTTCCCCGGCTCCTTCCCCCACCCAACCTTAGAGCCCCCAGCCCTCGTGTACCAAGCCCCGGCACACACAGCCCGGTCGGTGCTCACATGCCTGTTACCCCAGAACACACGCCCTGCCCCCTTGCACATGCCCACGCGCCCACCCACCTAGCCCCACACCCTGCTCTTTCTCCCTGCTGGGAAAGAGCTGGATTCCTTCTGTTTGGAAATGACACATTGGGCCTCACGTGAGAGGCTCCAACTTGGAACAGACCCAGAGGGCTGGCGTGCGCGCGCCCCAGGCTGAGGGCTGAGCGGACGCCGAGCCCGCGTGCCGGTTTTCTGTCCCCGCTGCACAGCCGGGTGTGAGGGCACATGGGTGTCTGGTTTGCGGGGATGAGTGTGTGTGTGTGTGTGTGTGGGGAACGTATACCTGCTCCATGTGTTGCTGAGTGCCTGCACATGTGTGTCCCTTAGTGCGCATGTCACCGTGCAGCCGGTGGAGACGCAAGTGTCGCCCCATGGATCTGAAGCCAGGACGTGTGTCTGTGTTCGGTGTGTGTCTGAGTGTTGCCCAACTGTGGAACTTGCTAATTCTGACAAGTGAGGCAACCTCTACCTCTCTGCCTGTGCCACCCCCAGCTTCCACCTGGAAGACAGACAGACAGGCAGACA